CGAAGTTTTGGGAATTGAAGCAGTGCGAAAAGCTATTGAGCGTGAAATGAATCACGTTATTTCGTTTGATGGTTCCTATGTCAACTATAGACATTTGGCTCTTCTGTGTGACGTTATGACTGCTAAAGGTAATTTTACTTTGCATTTATAGTTTGCGTTTACTTTTGCTATTTATATTGAGAGTTTTCTTTTTTTTTATAAACACAAAACTCATTTACATTATTATGCAGTTGAGAAATCGGAATGGAATTTAAAATAACTAATATTTATAGAGTTTATTTCCAGTAGGTTATTGATGAGAATTTTATGAATTTAGGCCATCTGATGGCAATCACTCGTCATGGCATTAACAGACAAGAAGTGGGAGCTCTTATGCGATGTTCATTTGAAGAAACTGTTGACATTCTCATGGAAGCGGCAGTTCATGCTGAACAAGATCCTGTGAAAGGTAATTTGACATGCACAAGAATTTTTAAAAAGGATAATCTGGTGCAAATCAAGGTTTTAAGAAATTTCGAAGGATGCGCTTCAGAAAAATTTTGAAGGGTTTCATGAAAGAATCTATCTTATTTCGTAAGGGAATCTGCCTCACACAACTCTCGAATATTTTTATAACTTTATTTGGTAGAATAAGAGCAATTTGAATTTAAAATTTGAAATAATATAAACTTTTTAAAACAAAAAGGGGAATTATTCATGTGGAAATAACATCCATCTTACCGCCAAAAGGTTAGGTAGATGAAATGATATCTCGATAATTTGCGAAAAGCTATTATCTTGACCTGTATAAAAATCGAAGCTCATATTTTAGGTGTATCTGAGAATATTATGCTGGGTCAATTAGCTAGAGCTGGGACGGGTTGTTTCGATTTGGTTCTCGATGCTGACAAATGTAAATTGGCTATGGAAATACAAACCGGTGGCGGCCTTTTGGGTACTGGCGGGATGTATTTTGGCAGTTCTATGTCTCCAGCAAGGTGTTTTTTGAATTATTTTTCTTCAATAGCTCGTTTACGAACAAAGCGGAACTACTGGCATTCAACATCTGTGTTTCTTCAATAGACTTTTTTTTGAAATTTTTAGCTCATCGATGAGTCCAGGACAAACTCCATGGAATGCCGGCACAACACCTGCTTATGGAGCTGCATGGAGTCCAGCAACTGATTCAGGAATGACTCCTGGTGGAGCAGGCTTTTCACCTTCAGGACACAGCGAAGGAGGCTTTTCACCTTATGGGTATTGTGTTGACTTCATATATGTATAGAACCATAGAATATGAAACAGAAAATTTTTTCGCCCTTATTTTTGATCAAATTATTTGCAGAGGCAGCGGAAGTTGGAGCCCAGGATCGCCTGGTGGATCTCTCGGAGGAATGTCACCATCTGGTGCAGGTGCATATTCTCCGGCTAGTGACTATGGTTCCGGTTTAGAAGGACTTAGCAGTCCGGGTTATTCGCCGACCAGTCCGGCATCTCCTTACGGTGCTTCATCACCTGCTTATGGTGTCATGAGTCCACGATATTCTCCAACGAGTCCAAGTAATATTCAGTATTATTGATTTTAATGTTGCTGGTTATCCAAATAATGAGCAAATTGTTCTGCTTCATTTGACTTTAAATCCCGGTAAAATTTTGCAAATCCACTTAATTACATCAAATTTCAGGTTACTCTCCAACTTCTCCAAGTTATTCACCTACTTCACCAAGTTACAGCCCTACTTCACCTGGTATGTTATTTCGAAGTGTTCTTTGCAGAACTCTAAATAGAATAAGTTTGAGCAAACTTTCTGATGCTTTCGAAACCTTTAAATCGAATGACTGATTCCGTTTTATGTTAATAAATATAATTTATAGTATAGTATAGATGATGGGGAAGTTAATCTGGAAAAAAATGATTTTTCAATTATCGGCCTAAAACTTTGAGTCTTTATGGTGTTTTTGCTGTTATTCCATATCATTTTGTAATTTGAAACGCACTCCGATTTTTTTTGTTTTATGTTTACATTGCGATGTTTATTTTAAATATTATCTTAGGATTCAAATGGAACTGGAATTGGTTCTAAATTATTGCCCAATTTATTTTTCAGGTTACTCACCTACTTCTCCGAGTTATAGTCCTACCTCTCCAGGCTACTCACCGACTAGCCCAAGTTATTCTCCAACTTCACCATGTAAGCTTTAAAATTTTAATTTTTTTTCTTACGATAGTTTACTCTTTAATGTATTTTTCCTCTAATTTTACAAGATATTTTCAGCTTATTCACCGACTTCGCCAAGTTATTCTCCAGCATCACCTGGTTACTCACCATCATCCCCGCGCTACTCACCTACTTCACCAGCCTACAGTCCAACAAGCCCAACATATAGTCCTACATCGCCTGCTTATTCTCCGACTAGTCCAACATATAGTCCAACGAGTCCATCTTATAGTCCCGCTTCTCCTGGTTAGTCCATTACATGTTGAACTTTTCTTTTTTTATTTTTCAGCTCATTTTTTAAGGAAATAGTAATTTGCTTACAGAATCATGCTTTCATCATAACTTAAAAATCTGTAATAGAGAATAGTTTTCTATCATATATTTGAAACCGGAGCATCTTACTGAACACAGTTACATTTGAAATTGGTGTGATTTAAACCATTTCAGGTTATTCTCCATCTTCTCCTCGTTATTCTCCTACAAGTCCAACCTACAGTCCCACAAGTCCAGCGTACAGTCCTTCGTCGCCACAGTATAGTCCCAGTAGCCCTCAGGTAGGCAACCATGTTTTTTCTTTCAATAAATGACGCATTAATGATAAGTAATAGCATATTATCATTGTAAATGGTCAAGATTTCTGAGGAAATGGGTAAGGCATTTTTAATTGTTTTGCAGTATTCGCCGTCATCACCGCAGTACACACCAAGTTCACCAGCTGGCGATGCCTCACCCGCGGTAAGATATTATATGTGCTTTTTAAAAAAAAAACTCGATCAAAAAAAGATGTTATAATTACAACAGTAGATTGGAAGAAATTTCATTAATTTCAAATCATTTCTACACTTAACTGTGTTTATCTAGAAATTATTTTTCTTCAGTATTCGCCGACATCACCGCAATACTCACCATCTTCGCCAAGATACAGTCCATCAAGTCCACAGGTTAGAAACGTTTTTATTACTATAAATTATTTGAGTGTATTTCAAACACATCAGCACGAAAAAGTTCGTTCGTTCATATTTGAGAATCCAGCATATTTTTAAATTTCCATCGTATTCACTTATACTGATGGTTTATTTCATTTATAGTACTCGCCGACATCACCTCAGTACAGTCCAAGTTCGCCAGGTGGAGCAGGCACTTCGGTTCGTTCCGGTTTCATTTAAATTTATTTCTAGAGAAAAAGACATTTCTATTGTAAAATTTATTTTTAAAATCCTATGCTGCTGTTATCGATGAACTTTCAGTACTCACGAAGTTCACCGCAGTACAGTCCGTCATCTCCACAATACTCGCCAAGTTCACCACAGGTTTTTTTGTTTCGTCAATCCTAGATCGAGAAATTTCATTTGTTTAGACATCTTCATAGTTTTTACAAAATGACAACTTTTAAATGTGTTGTTAAACGATTATTGATTATGAGAGTATTTACCACAACGTACTAACTTTTCAAATTGCTTCCTACCTCACCAAGAAATAATTAGTTTCATTAAAGAGCCAATTGTTAAATTTACTTTGCGCACCAAGAAATTAGATATTTGCCAAAAATTTCGTTTTTACTAAATGAATTCTTTAATCGTATTAGTTAAAGCCTACTTTCAGTATTCTCCATCATCACCACAGTATAGCCCATCTTCTCCACAGTACTCTCCTGGCGATTGATTCAACAACAGGATTTGTTTGTTGTACTTATGAACAACAGTTTTCCGCAGTTATGATCAAGTGTCAACAAAAAAATTGTTATTTCATAAAATATATATGTAGAACTGTAAAACGTCCAGGCATGGGTATTGCTCTATTTGAAATAATGTTTCTTTTTGTATGGTTCCTTTCTCGTTGAGCTGATGATTTAAATATTTAGGTTATGTAATAGTTGTAAAGATGGTCATGTCTTTTAGCGTACCATGTGAATTTTTATTTCTGTGCGATCTCAACAACTGCAAAAAAAAATTCTCGAACTCTTCATTGACACTATTTATACTTTTCATTATTTATTGTTTGCAGTTTTTTTGTTTAACTGTTTTGTAAATAGCATTGTGTGACATTCAGTGGACCAGTTGCAGTATGAATTAAACGAAATTGAGTTAAGTTAAGCAATGTCTCAAAAGCTGTATTTTTACGGGTGCAACTACCGGATTTTTAGTTCTGAAACTTTTTGTTGGGATAAGAAATTTATTATATCATTCCATCTGTTGTTATGCGTATTTATAAATTTGCTCTTCATTTGTTCTCTTAATTCGTATTACATATGATTCGTGAAAAAACACGATTGGCAACTTAAAGAATCTTGTAGCTACTTCACATTTCAAGGAACAAGTACAACATAGTCATGATGCTTGCATTGAAAGTAGCAAATGGATGTGAATCATAGTGATATCAAACGTACTAACAGAATTAGTGAGCCAGAAATATTCGAAACCCAATGCTCTTTCTCTCGTACTAAACGTTTTCTAAAAATTAACTAAAAATATCTATTAACATTTTTATTCACTTTTTTTTTGTTTACTAATAAGTTCAATTTCAGAGAAGCTTTCAATTTTTTAAGAAGTTAATTCTAAATTTAGTTTTTTCCTTGATCTTAATGAAAATTGATTCTTCTATTTTTGATTATTTGTATTAATATTATATTAGTTATAGTTATTTTATGTTACGATTGCAAAAGCTAAGAAATAGCAAAATTTGAAAATCTGCGTAATATTACGGGCTTAAACTAGAAAGATTACTTGAATGAAATTTAATTACTAGCTGTTGAAATTTAATTTCATAGTCGATTATTGCTTTAGTTGATTTTCAATATCCTTTTTTTGATTTTCACTATCATTACTAATATTTACAGGGTTGAATAATTAAGAACTTGTCTTTTTGTTTTATCTACTATGGGAATTAGCGTTGCTGTTGTGGAAGATAGCGCTTCTTTTGTGGAAATTTGCGCATCTACTGCGGAAATTAGCGCTTCTCTGCATGGAAATCAGCGTTGCTATTGTGGAAGTTAGCGCTTCTCTGCTACTTATGTAAATTATGACTTATCACTTTTTTGAAATCTCCTCAAATTCTTCATTTTTGTTTATATCGAAAGAATATCCTATTGTATAACGAATAAAATATTTGAAATTGAAATTTTTTTTCAGAAAAATTCTTTACTTCTTTTTCATTCATATCTTTTTGTTTTCATAAATATAAATGGGTTCGTTAAATTAGTGAAAATGTAAAGGTAAAAATTAATGAAAATATAAAGAATAAAATGAAAGATTAAAATGATCGTAAACGAATAGTAATAAAGAATATTGGATTTATGATATTAGAAATTCAAATAATTAAATTTGTCAAGCGCAAATGTAACTGCTAATTAGCGCAACTGTAACTGCTAATTATTGTATAAGTTTTACCAAAATAATAACTAGTTATTGCAGCTATAGTTTTAGCATGAAGAGTAACACTATTTAAATTAAGCATCATCGAAGTAAACAAACATCCATGTTCCATTTTTTTTTCACCAATTTTAACAAATGTATAATAATATTCGAAAACTTCATATTCCATTTAATCAGGTATGGATTCCGGATATCCTATTGTACAATAAATAAAATATCTGAAATTCCATATAATCAGATATGAATTCCGGATATCCTATTATACAAAAAATAAAATATCTTTTCTGGATTATTATTTTCAATGAAATTCGTCATCATAATGCAAGCAAGCATTCTATATTTCCGATATGTTTCAATTCTAATTTTGATTTGCATATTTACCGAAATTACCACTTGTAGAAACGGAATCTGATCATCGTTATTCTCGAATAATATGTCAAACTTCATAACCATATAAAATAATTGCTAACTTTAACTTTTATTGATCAAAAAAACACTGTCATATCTTTCTTATACAAATAATGAATTCCATTGATTGAAAGCTGATTAATTGTGAACTCATACTGCATTATTATTATCACATTATCACTACTACAACCATCATTATCACTACTACAACTATCCATTTTGCATTATCACTACTACAACTATCCATTTTGCATTGTCACTACTACAACTGTCACTATTATAACTATCCATTTAGTTTAGATATTAGAGGAAAATTTTCCTCTCCTTATTATCCTCTGAAATGTTTGATTATACAACAAGGAGAAACAAGGAGTAAAATGTTGCGAAACGTTTGTTTTAAATGTAAAAATTCAAATTTTTAATTAGCGAAATATCATTTGATTTAAAAATGGAAAATGTCCACCCAAATTTTTTTCAAAAGGTCAAAGGTAACTTTTTAGTTATTTCTACTTTATGAAAATTTTGCTATTCGTTTTTGCTAAAAATAAAAATTGTAATTAAACGGAAAATATGAAAATCTAATTTTTTTAATTTCAAGAAAAAACTTTTTCCCTTTTTTGGTAAATTTAAAAATATAGAAATAAAAGATTTGCAGTGAATTATTGGCAGTGAAAAATGATATCTAAGAGCTAAAATTTTCAAAAAAACCGATACATACGATGAGGAATCATTTACATTATAAATCCTAAATTCAATCGGCTTTTCTTTTCTACTACACTACCCAGTAATATATTATTTCCAGTTGAGCTTATTATGCACGTCTTTTATCCATTTCACATTCACTTCATTCTTCAACATCTTCAAGAATATTTTATCAAAGTAATTTTTTTGTAGTGAAATTTATTCATAAGTTATAAATGGAAAAATTTTTAATCAAAATTACAAATTACATCTATTGTTATTTTTAACAATTACAGTATGAATTAATTGATAATAATGATATTGGCGATAATTGTTTAGTTCGTGTTGAAATGTTTGTGCGTTCATTTTTAACAATTACAGTATGAATTAATTGATAATAATGATATTGGCGATAATTGTTTAGTTCGTGTTGAAATGTTTGTGCGTTCATTTTTAACAATTACAGTATGAATTAATTGATAATAATGATATTGGCGATAATTGTTTAGTTCGTGTTGAAATGTTTGTGCGTTCATTTTTAACAATTACAGTATGAATTAATTGATAATAATGATATTGGCGATAATTGTTTAGTTCGTGTTGAAATATTTGTGCGTTCATTTTTAACAATTGCAGTATGAAATGATTGATAATAGTGATATTGGTGATAATTGTTTAGTTCGTGTTGAAGCGTTTGTGTTTGTGCTGAAAGTTAAAAGTTTTTAATGAAGCAAAAAATTTAAGCAATTAATCAAAAGATTGAAATTGTAAAAATATAAGGATGAAAAAGATCATTCAATAAAATATCAATGCAAAATTAAAGTGACAGCTTAAATTAAACAGATTAATTTCATTTGTTTTTTTTTCATGAAATTAAATTTCTTAATGTTTTTTGAGCTTTACAACAAAAATTGTTAATTAATTTAAATTATCATTTTCATTTTGTATTGACTATTTAATAATTAATAATTAGCTTAATTCGATTTAAGCTATCATTTCCATTTTTGGAATTATTTAACTAGCCTTAGTGTTTTGAACTTTATAACAAAAATTGTTAATATATTTAAATTATCGCTTTCATTTTGTATTGATTATTAGTAATTAATAATTAGCTTATTTTCATTTAAGCTACTGCTTATTATTTAGTTAACTAATTAATTAACTTACTTATTTGTAAAACAGAGACCGTCGTTTACGTCTATTGCCAAAGCATGGACAGCAATTACAACATGTTGGCTTGACAATTTGTGGTGATAATTGTATTGTCACTCCTTGTCCAATCATTGGAATTGATGATGGTAGTAGTGGTAGTGGTATAAGAGGTATTGGCTGCTGTCGTTCAAACACTTGATTTGTTTGGGTACAACAGGTTGGTGATGGTTGACAGCATATACTTAGGCCTATTTGACAGCAAAAAGGTGATACTATAGGCGGAGGTGTTGTTGTAGGTGGTAAAGTTATTGGAGGTGGTAAAAAACGTTGAACACAGCAACATGCACTAAAAATTTCAACTTATTATTAGCCTACTAGACCACCTCTTATCGATATACAAATTACATTTTGATTCGTGCAATTTTGAAATTTTTATTTGGAAATAAATTAACTTAATTAAATTAAAGAAATTTAATGAGGAGAAATATTTGTTTCCTAATAAAATAATTTTTATTGCAAATATTTATCATTAATGAATAAAGAAAGCTGTCAATTAGCTTGCCAGCTATGCTTCAATTTTTTCAACTTACTCAAAGAGCAATTTTTGTCGCTAATTTTTGCTGTTTATAATAAAAAAACTTTCTTAAAATTATTTAAATAAAAGGAATAATCAATAACATACGCTGTGCAACAGCAATTGCAATCATCGTATTGCCGTTTAAATCGTGCAGCTCGCCGGGATATCTCGGTGATATTATCATTCGAATCAAAACTACTAATCTGTCCTAAATTTTCCACCAATGGTTCACATTGAATTATTGCTATAAGCAATGATAGAAAGATGAAGAATATCATCATTATAATAATAATAATTTGATATAGGTGATAAAATTTCAGATATTATTTCAACTTATATAATGATTGAATTACGGGAAGATTTATTTATATGCTTCTTCTGCAGCACTAACAACTAACTTGTTTTGAATGGTCAATTTTTTGAATCCATTTTATACTGAAATGTTTGTAATTTTGCTGACAGGTATTTTTAAGAATTTTAAACATAAAATGATTTTTTTTTTTGATTTAAATCAATAAACAATTAAAAGAAAATAGATTGAGAAGAGAATTAGTTAAGAAAGCGAAGATTTTGTTTTTTTTGAAAAAATGCAAACTAAATTTTTGAGCGTACAAAAAGAAATTGAAGTAGTCGATGGAGAATGTGAAAGTAAATAAAAGTTAGATTTTAAAAATTACTTCTTAAACTTATTTGTTTTCTTTTTCTTATCCTAAATTAATTTGCAATTTTTTTTAAATTAATTTAATATAAATTAATTTGTTAAGATATAGGCTGGTAATTATAGTAGTAGTAGTAGTAGTAGTAGTAATTACCCAAACTAATTTGATACTTTTTTGAAGGTTAATTTGATATTTTTTTTGTTTTCAAATTTATTTGATATAAATTAATTTGTTAAAATATAGACTGGTAGTTATAATAGTATTAGTAGTTATCTAAACTAATTTGATATTATTTTTTTGAATATATAGATTAATAGTAGGTAATAATGGATACGTAGAAGTTTATTTGAACTGTCAAATTTGGTAGAATATTTAAAAGGAAAACAAAAGAGAAGTAAATCATCGATCGTCGTAAAATGAATTTCTATTTGTTGCATTTTTGTTGAGTGTAAGTTTTTGTCTTTTAAAATGTTAAAAGCAAAGAAGTATGGATTATTTTTTGCCCATTTTTCTCACAGATTCATTGATAATTGGATATTTAAAATGAAAAGCCAAAAAAATAAAATTCTAAATAAAATTTCTAAGTCTAAATTTGGCCTAAATTTGTGCCTAAATTGTGTTTTGCATGAAGCCTAAATTTGTGTCTTGCATGAAGCCTAAGTTAGGCCTAAATTTGTGCCTAAATTGTGTTTTGCATGAAGCCTAAATTTGTGTCTTGCATGAAACCTAAATTTGGCCTAAATTTGTGGCTAAATTTGTGTTTTGCATGAAGCTTAAATTTGTGTTTTGCATGGAGCCTAAATTTGTGTTTTGCATGAAACCTAAATTTGGCCTAAATTTGTGGCTAAATTTGTGTTTTGCATGAAATTTCATGTTTGGAAATTTTTTTAAATAAATTTTTGAAACAATTTAAATTGAAATAGTCTTCATTAATTTTTTTTAATGGCAAAATTTAAAAATTTTTTTTATTCTCAAAATATAATGTATTAATATTGTATGAATGGATGCTTATGTTTTGAGAAAATAAGATAGTTAGTAGCAGGTGGCAACTGTTCAAGCGATTTAATGCGCTTGTTAGAAGCTAATGATTATCCATCACCCATTTATCAATCGATTTGCAGCTTATAGCTACATTTCAGTGTTTTTGCAATATTTGAAAACGTCGTCTAAAATTTTTGAAAGAAGTAGGTAATTGATATCAAATTTAACTTTAACTTTATAGGATAGTTTGAAGGATTAAACTTGTAAAAGTTTGAATTAATTTGATTGAATTTTTTGTTTTAAATTTTAGGTTATAATTACTGATCAATTTTGATAAATACAAATTTATTACAACGACAAAATCATTCATCATGAATGCATCACGACTATTGCAATTTATTATTGCAATACTTCATGGTAAGAATTGAAATGTTAATTTTAGTACGGAATGATTGATTCTCATATTAAATGATTATCAAAATTTCAGTTAATCTTTATTATGTAATTTAAAATATTTAAATTTAACAATGAAATTATTTCAAGTAATTATTTCCTCTTACTTTTTCAAATCATTTCAGTAAGTGATTTATTAAGTAATCGTTATGCCGATCAATTATATGAAGATTTGCTATATTTCTATAATAGAAATGTAAGACCTGTACGAAATGCAAGCAGTGCGGTACAAGTTAAATTTGGTGCATCATTAATTCGAATCATCGATGTGGTTAGTTTCTAGAAAACTTTACAATTGATAATTAAAAAAAAAATAGTTCTTAAAACAATCACTCATGATTCATTATGATTTATTAAGTAATCGTTATGCCGATCAATTATATGAAGATTTGCTATATTTCTATAATAAAAATGTAAGGGGTATACGAAATGCAAGCATTGCAGTATATTAGCATGCATTTTGTGGGAAATTTTGCATTTTTAGAAAGCATGCAAAAATTTTGCATTTTAAGAAAGCATGCAGAAAAATTCTTAAAATAATCACTCATGGCTTATTATGATTTATTAAGTAATCGCTATACCGATCAATTATATGAAGATTTGCAATATTTCTATAATAAAAATGTAAGGGCTATACGAAATGCAAGCATTACAATATATTGGCATGCATTTTGTGAGAAATTTTGCATTTTAAGAAAGCATGCAGAAATTTTGTTGAGCATTACCTTTTTTAATCTTTTATTTTTTCATTGTTCATTTTCAACAAAATTTTATACAGAAAGAATGATGCAATTCCGAACACAAAATTAAGAAAACAAAACAACAAAAGTAGTTTGTTGGCTTTTCAAAAAATTCAAAAAAAACAATAGAAGTTTAGATCTAATTGATAACGTTTTGTTATCCGTTAATTAGTTGGTAGAAAATCATTAGATATTGGTGCTGCGAATATTTGCGATACACCACAATCAGATGGGCAATACGTTGCTGGTTGACCTGAAAAAATTTATATCATTTTTTTGAACTCTTCCAAAATTTTTTATAAGGATATGAAATTAAAAAAATGATACCATATGAATCATTTAGAATTTTTCGAAGAAGAGCAAAATTAGCAGACCTGGTTCACCAGGTGGTCCCCATGGTCCTTCTTCACCATTCTTTCCGTATCGTCCTGGTGGTCCAATAGGACCAATAGTACCGGGTTTTCCGGCGAAACCAGATTCTTTAGCTGGTTTACCTCGTGGTCCGATAGGTCCTTTTGGTCCAGGAGGACCAACTGGACCTTTTGGTCCCTTAATTCCAGTACCAGATATGACCGTTTCACCAGATGGTCCTGGAAAGCCAACAGGACCTTTGAGACCAGGTGGTCCTGGTAAACCAGGCTCACCTGGTGGTCCATGTTCTCCTGGTACACCCGGTGGGCCTGACTCTCCGCTACGACCAGATTCTCCGAGCTGTCCACGTTCACCTTGCAATCCTCTAAAATAAAGTGGCTGTAACTGTTTAATTTTCGATGCAAACATCAAAAAATGACCTTTTCGCAGTTGCAATTTTAATATGCAAAAACAGTATACTAAATAATGGTACCTCTGACCAGGTGGTCCAGCAGGACAAATTGAACATGGTAACTCTTCTTCCGGTGTAAGCTCCACATCATAACCATCATCGCCTGCTAATCCTGGATTACCTGCCATACCTGGTATGCCATCTTCGCCAGGAGGTCCACTTAAACCAGATGGACCCATAGGGCATCTAAATTTTGCACTTATTCACCATAACTATATTTTAAGAATTAATTAACATCCTGTGTAATTTGATACTAATTTTCTTAAGACTGAAGAACCTTTATTTGTCATATATGAATCAGCGGAAATTAGAAGTGTCTAATGCGCAACCGGTTCATCAAAGTTTGTCAGTTCAGTGCCTAAAATTTAAATCTACTTAATCACTAACACTTATCACTACCTGTTCCATTCCACCTTTGTCCATTCCTGATTTGGAATATTTTTTTCTTCGGTAAATTGATTTGATTTTGAAAGAAATAATTTTGGTTAAAGTTGAAACTATCTTTGAAGAAAATTTTGTTTCGTGAAATTTTAATTTAAAACACAAACCCAAGTTGTATACATCCTGCGCATACCGTCTGTTTACTGCTACCAAAAATGTGTAGTTGTGAACGACGTTTTCGAAGAATCGCCGATACACCAACTTCTTGTACCGATTTCATTTCTGTCCATATTTTATTTAATTTCTCCTAAAAATGTAATTAAGGAATGGTTAATTTAAAAAAGAAAGGTGGAAATGGAAATCATTTTACAAAAAATTTCAACATGTTGTAGATTAAATTAAATTTTAATTTATGCTATATTTTTTCATTTCAAAATTTCTTACTTTAAAATTTTCTGATTTTTTAATAGCATATAATCGTTCTCTTTCAGCTTTCATATAAATTGTTGGAATAGCAAATAGTAATAAAATAACTGTCATCGAACTAAATATTGTCGTACCGATCGCCAAATAATGAAAATAATCTTTGATAGCCATTTTCCTAAAATTTATTTTTACAAAAAATTTTTTCGTTTTCCTTTTTCAAATTATATTATTATTATTAATATTATTATTATTCCGAAGTTTTAAACAATAACTTCTAATTAGATGTAAACTATTTGAAAAGAATTTCCAAAATTTAAAAACAAGCAAAATTTTATGAAAAAAAATTTCGGATTTACGAAGCTATTTTGAAAGATGGAAAGAAAGTTAATCGGTTAACAATGATCATGTTGATTGTCAATTAAACCAATTACTTTTATCTAATACCTGATATATTGGGGCACTGTGTCGGAGCAATCTCTGTACATTTATGCAATTACGGAATGATATGTTCCGACTTTTCATATGACCTCTCCTAATTCCTAAAAAAACGAACAAGAAATAATGAATGACATTTTATAATTTAGGTCAACTGATAATATTTTTACGAAATTAATTTTCGAATTCATTTTTAAAAATAATTTTAGGGGAGAAGAATTTTGAATGGATTATTTTCACCGAATTCTTATTATGACTTTTTTTTAATCATTATAAAATTTGAATAAAAGAATAAATTATCGATTAGGCTGTATATTGCTATTTAAAAATCCACCATTCAATAATGAATTCATAATTTGTTGATATGAATTTGTTTTCAGGATGAAGTAAATCAAGTACTTACCACCAATTTATGGCTTGAAATGGTATTTATTTATTAAATTAATATTTAAATTATACAAGTTGATTGAGATTAAATTATAAAATAATTTTTCTGAAATCAGGAAAATAAAAAGAATAACTTGTCAATCAGGCTATCTATTTTCCTGAAATCAGGTAAATCTAGGAAATTATTTTCTGCAATTAAAAAAAGAGAATAAAATTATTCTCAGTTTTCCAAATCTTATTCAATTTCAGCAATGGAATGATTATCGGCTAATATGGGATCCGAAAAAATGGAATAATATTCGAAAACTTCATGTTCCATCTGATCAGATATGGATTCCGGATATTATATTGTATAACAAGTAAAATATTTGAAAATTTAAAATCATTCCATTGATAATTAAATGGCTGATATCGTTGGTACCACCTTTTTTTTTTGAAACAAAGAAATTCTCATTTAATATTCCTATTGTTTTGAAAAATTAAAAATCTTCCTTTCATTTTAGCGCAGATGGTGAACCACATATAACAATTACAAGTGATGCCTTAGTTTACTATACCGGCGCTATAGTTTGGAAACCTCCAAGCATTTATAAATCATTCTGTCCCGTAAGCTTAAATTCTATAATTTTATGATGCTAATTTATTAAACTTGCAAATATCATACCTTTTTTATGTTCCGAATTTTTTTTGGTGTAATTCAATTTTGATTTATTCCAATTAAAATTTTCAGATATATTTGTAATTTTGCAAAAAGATTGTTATTGTTGCTTGTAAAATATTTACTTAAATATTTAAAATTCAATTAAATAATTAATAAGCTTAAATAAATAAAACAATTAAATAAGCTAGCAACTAGACTATTTAGAGGATTCCAAATTACAAACTTTAAATTTTAAATTCAATTTTTTGAAAATTTAACTGCCAGAAAAGATAAATAAGCTGGCAACTAGACTATTGAGAAGATTTCGAATTACAAATTTTTAAGTTTTGAATTTAATTTCTTGAAAATTTAACTACCAGAATGGAGTGTTCTTTTTTTTAAAGATTGATATCGAATATTTTCCATATGATAAGCAATCATGTTCAATGAAATTTGGTGGTTGGTCTTATAATGGTTTTCAAATTGATGTTCGTCAATTACCGGTAAATTTTAAATTTCATTAAACAAGAATAATTATGAAATATCATAATTTGGGAATTCGATATCTGTCTAAACGATAGTATCATATGATCGATTTTAAAAGATACGAGTAAAATTCTCATAAACAATTGAAATTTTCCAACCATACCAACCTCACATGTTAACTTTTACAATGAATTTATATTTTGAAATATAAAATCTTTTTTTTTGAAGATTAATCCGACGGATAATATCGAAACACTGTACGATGAAAATGGAAAGGAATATCAATTTCTGGAACAAGGAATGGACTTGTCGTCGTATTATCCGTAAATTCTCTGAGCTATCTGAACAATCTTTTTTATGCTTTATTTGCTTAATTTTTTAGATTTATTAAAATTTCTGCTTAACCTTTCCGGTGAAAAAAAATTTTTCCGTTTTGTTTTTTTGAATATAATCCTATTTTAGAAGTCGTAAATGGGATTTGATAAGTTTAACAAGTCATCAATATGAACGTTTATATCCTGATTGTTGTAGACAAGAATTCTATGTTAATATTACAATCCTATTTTAGAAGTCGTGAATGGAATTTGTTAGGTTTAACAAGTCGTCGATATGAACTGCTTATATCCTGGTTGTTATAGATAAGAATTCTATATTGATACTATAATTCCTATTTTAGAAGTCGTGAATGGGACTTGATAAGTTTAACAAGTCGTCGATATGAACGCTTATATCCTGGTTGTTGTGGACAAGAATTCTACATTGATATTACCTTCAATTTATCAATTCGTCGTAAAACACTTTTTTACACTGTCAACTTAGTTATTCCATGCATGCTAATAGGTGAGAATTTTATTTTAATTTTATTCTAATAAAATCCAACAAATTGTTTTTAGTATTAGGAAAATGTTGAAAAACGTTGAAAAATGTTAAATGTTGAAAAGTGAGAATTTTTTTTTTTTGTAGTGAAAGAAATAATCAATTTAAGTTATGATATAATAAAATATCATAACAAATTAAAATTACTTAATACTTTTATTATTAAATTTTTTTTAATGTTTTAAATAATTTAAAAAATAAATAAATATTTTTTTTAGTTATAATATAATCAAAATATAATTAGTTATAATATAATTAAAGTTATGATATAATTAAAATATCATAACAGAATATAGTATGTTATACTTTAATTTTAAATTTCATTTTAAATTTAATTTTAGCAATTTTGACAACGTTCGTTTTCTATATTCCGGGTATTGAACATAAAGTATCATTTTCGATAGCAGTATTAGTTACTTTAACTGTATTTTATTTGGTTCTTATTGATCTCATTCCGCCAACATCAATGGTTATACCATTAATTGGAAAATATCTATTATTTACAATGTTTCTTGTTTCGGCATCAATTTTCTTATCCGTAGTTACTGTTAGCTACTATCGTCGGTATGTTACGGTTGTTTTATTTGTTTACTTTTTACATCTATTCCTACTTTAATGATTTAAGCATATCAATAAAGATATAATGGAATAGTAAAGATTCGCAAAACATAATTAATATAATATTTAACAGCAGGATTGTGATTAAAGTATGTAAAAGATAATTAAGATAATTAATAATTAATGCTTGATAATAGGATCATGACTAAAGTATGCAGAAGATAATTAAGATAATTAATAATTAATACATAATAATAAGATTATGATTAAAGTATGCAAAAAATAATTAAGATAATTAATAATTAATGCTTGATAGGATTATGACTAAATTATGCAAAAGAATTAAAATAATTAATAACTATTGTTTAATAATGAAATTATGAATAAGATATGCAAAAGGTAATCAAGATAATTAATAATTATTGTTTAATAATAGATTATGATCAAAGTATTCAATTAGTAAATATTTCAAAGAGACAATAAATATTTGAAAAGTTTATTTTCTTTTTCTTTTGTAATACTTTCTATATAAATCTATATATACAGTCTTATTTTATATTATTTTATGTTATAATTTATTACTGATATTTTTTATATTATATAATTTACAAAAGATAATGTAAAATTTTCAAAACAAAAAGTAATTAAAAAGTTTCAAAAAAAATTACTTTGATTTTTAATATAACCAAATATGATCATTTTAAGTGATAATCATAACTGATAATTTTATATTAATTTTAATTTCATTAATTTTATTCTTCATCTTTTTTCAATTTTATTTATTTAGTTTTCATTGATTACATTCTGTCAACATCAATATTCTTCTTCTTCAATTTTTTCCTTACTCTCTCTCTCTCTCTCTCTTTCTTTCCCTCTCTCTGTATTTGGAAAAAGAAAATTCAAATAAATTTAAATTAAAAAAAAAATGTTGGAATAAAAGTTGAAAATTTTTGCTTATCATATTACTACTCCCTCTTCCTCTCTCTCTCTCTTTATTTGAGAAAAGAAAATTGAAAAAAATTATATTATTTCTATAACTCTCTCTCTCTCCCTCTCTCTCTCTCTCTCTCTCTGTTTAGAAAAGAAAATTCAAATAAATTTCTATTATTTCTATAACTCTCTCTCCCTCGCTCTCTCTCTCTCTCTCTCTTTATTTGGAAAAAGAACATTCAAATAAATTTAAATTGAAAAAATGTTAGAAATAAAATTTGAAAAAAAAGAATAATACGATATAATTGAAATCGTTAATTGTATTTTCTTCATTTTTCAACGATTTTCTTCTCACATCAAATTTTGTTGAATGGAATTATTTAACAAAAATAATCCTTCAATTTATATATCAATTTTATTTTAGTATAAAATATTTCTATTATACTATTTTTTTACTACACTATGTAATAAATATGGATTTACTATACTATTTTTACTATACTTTTACTATGCTATTATATACTATTTTACTTTTTACTATACTTTTTACTATACTATTTACTATACTATTATTATTACTATATTTAACTTTCATCAATATAATTTCAAATTAAAAATGAAATTAAAAATTAGCTGTAAAAAAAAAGAAGTGTCAAATATTCGCTTTTATTTTCATTCTATCATTTCTGATACTATCTTCATATCCATATTTATTACATTCTTTAATGATTTACCGTTACTATTATATTCATTATCTTATCTTGATAATTAAATTTTAATTATCAATCAAACTGTACAGAGTAAATCTTATATTAACATAAATGATCGATTAGCTGTAGCATTAAAACACAAGTACACAATGATATTAGTAACCGATCAATTTTATTATCATTAAATAATAATATCCAAAATCAATCATTAGTCTTATGGTACTTTTATAATACACCACAATAAATTGGATATGGATTTCAGGTTTTCTCTAATATATATTTTGGAATCAATATCAATTTTTTTTTCATTTATATTAATCACAATTTCAATATCATATTTCAATCATAATAAGAAATTCCTTTGGGAAATATTTATATTTGGAAGAGCCAATTCAGGAATTTTAATTCGTTTCTTCTTTCAGTGCTGGTACCACTCATCCAATGTCAAAATGGATGCGTCATGTATTTTTGAAAACATTACCCAAGTATTTATTCATTAAGCCACCGGAAGATGATGGTTCCGAGGAAAGCAGCAATAAATCATCGGGTCAATCAGGTTTCATGAAAAAATTTTTCACCACTCTTCCAACTTGAAACTAAATTAAATGCAAATGAAAGTGTAATTGAAGAATCACTAGAAATACTTGAATTGAATCTTTCCATTTGAGAAAATTCAAATTTCCGAAAATTAACCAAATGCAAAATAATATCGATCATTATCATCATCATCATCATCATCATTGTAATATCTGCACTGGCAATTTTCTTACAATTTCTGGATGCTATTTTTACAAAGAAAAATAAATTTTCAATTTGCAATAACAAAAACCTTCTGAAGTTGTAATAAGCTTTTTGTCTTTTCGATCGAAATTAAATCCTCTTCCATTCTCAATTAAAAATTTTAGATTTACTGTCAAGTTTAACATCTCGTCGAACAAGTCCGTGTTTCCTATCGATTACCAATCTAGCTGATGGTCAAATGCGATTGTCTCGATTGGCACAACTTCGTGGAATGCATCCGGATTTAATTCGTCGTATGATCGATAATGTATCTTTTATTGCTGATCATTTTCGAGCCATGAAAAAAGATAATCAGGTGCGTTTTCATTCTTTTCTTTTGTAAATTAACCGCCAATTTTAGGCGTTGTTCTTCAATTTCAAATTTTATATACATATTTTTCTTTCGCACTTTTCTTCTCAATGATTAACAAATTTTTAAATTTGTTAAAAATGCAGGTATCAGAAGATTGGAGCTACATATCAATGGTACTGGATCGATTGATGCTGATGATTTTCAGTGTAATCAACGTACTTGGCACTTTGATTATTCTTCTTCAATCACCTGTACTTTATGATAGTCGACCACCGATGACCATCAATCCAGCTAGTAAACCATTGAGCGGCGATACACTTGAATTATTCGCTAACAATTCATATGTACAATAATATTTTGAATAAAACTCCATGAATTGCGAAAATCTTCATGACGATGAAAATACATACAACTTACCTTCGCTACTGAAACACTACAATTATTTCTGTAAGATAATTATCATGAAGATAATAACAAACTGAGATTTACATGCAATTAGTGATGATAGCAAACTCAAATTTTCAAGCAATAATGATGATGATGATAGTAATAAACTGAGATTTGCAAGTAGTAGCTAAATTATGGTAGCTGATACGGTAGATTGAATTAATTTTAAATCATTTATTTCTTCTCGAATGGACAAATCCTTGGCTCGTTTGCAAGCTAGTGGAAAGGAATTAAATGAATTTAATTTAATATCGATCGATCGAAAATTTCTTGGCTAATTTTGTCATTTCTTTTCTTATTCATTGTTTGAACAAAATTTAAATTAATTAACAATTTCGATCGATATTGAAAAAAATTAATAAACAAATTGTCGTTGGATAAAAACAATTATAGTCAATAAAATTATGAAAAATCTTCATTATTTACTTTTTGAATATTTAATTAAACAATAATTTAATTTTTATTTTCTTTCATTAAATATGGATGGTAATTAGTAGCGAAAAGAATTACAAAAGAAGTTCGATGATCTGTTAATGAATAATACTTCCACCTTTTATAGTTCTGTCCTCATTCACTATACCTTTGTGTATGATAGATAGATCGAAGTTAGAATGTAGGAGAAAATTATATATGCATTTTCGTAAGTATGTGCTGCATAATAAATATGTCAAATATTTGTAGAACTATGAAATCGATGATATAAGAGAGATAGTAATTATAAGTGAGCATTATATGCATGACACAGCGATGGGAAGCAATATTCAAGTAAATAATGGAATAGTAGCGGAGAAGTTGTACTCGGCGAAGAGGACGGAAATTAACAAGATGTCTAGTTCCTCGGGCATTCTATTCAAACAGCACCTTCTCGGATCGACCCTGTTTTATGGTCTTCTTAGCTATAATCATTTTTTCATCATTTTCTTGTTGCTGAGCTAGGATGTGTCAGCAGGCTGCGTTAAATGATGTTTCTATCCAGAGTGAGGTGGTTAAAATGAGGAGGGAGCTGTGTTGATAGTGCGATCGTGAGATATTGGCATGTAGGTCAGCCGCCTTACGAATGATCTTCAATGGATAGTAACTGAAGTATACTTTTCATTGTTTTGCTACAGGCTATCTCTATTTTCTTATGACCATCAGACACACGTATGTTCTACCAGATCAGTTTTTTCGGAATTGCTTCTTTGTTATCTGGATATCCTTTTTTTAAACTATGATAGATTTTAATTTTATGCTTCTAAAATCAGAGAATCGTCGTAGCTTACTTTCCGTTCCTGTGAATTAATAGGCCAAAAAAGTAGCATGTAATTCACCAATTTAATTTATATTATACTTTTATGTTTTGTATAAATTTGATAAATGAATTCTTTCCAAGAATGGTGGATGAGAGGAAATGGTAATGGGAAGAAAAGGAAGTAAGGTGAATAATGGGATATTTATATACTATTCTTTTGGGTTCTGTTAATTTTTTCTCATCTGTATACTTTCCCTTACTTTTATAAGCATTTCTATATCTTCTGCACAAATAGTAAGCTATAACATTGCCTCATCGAGGCAGAATATAATCTATTAATAGGATGGTAGGGTCAATTCAAGTAATGCATGTTCTGAAGATGGCGCACGAGTGATTATCACAATAGGAATGTATTAATTGCTTAAACTATTGAAACAATTTCAGACTGCTGTTTGTTTTGTCTGCTTATTGCCGATAGTTTATCGTTTACTTTGGTGGAGCGTATCTATGTTTAATGATTGATCTAAATGATATTTGAAAAGTATTATGTAAAAGTTGAAATTTGAGAAAGATTTGTGATTGTATTTGTTTGAGGATTTTATAAATTTGTAAAAATAGAAGACTAGAATAGGCATATAGCAATTTTATGCCCGTAAAGTCCACAGAATCGTCTCAGCTTATTTTGCAGATTATTTGTAGAATTCACTGATAATTTTTTTTTGCTAAGAAAAAGTGATACATTATTTGTTTAGCAGCTGAATGGTATTTGATTTTTAGGATGGTTTTGTATCGTTGATATACAGTTTAATACCATTGTTGGTCATTTTCTTTCTATTTCAGATTGCAGATTTGATTGAATATGAAAAGAGTGAATGGTATTATTTTATTGTTTAATGTTTGCGTATATGTTTGCATGGGTTTCTATTTGCCTGGCCTGGCACCAGTCAATTTTTGTGAAGAGAAAGTTGCGAAACCATCATGTCCAGTACGATTTTTTTTCCTTAGATTTTAATTGAAAAGTCTTCGAAAATATTTTGTATGGCTCATTTCCGTATTTTTGAATGTATTGCATGTCTCACTACCAATAATATTGCAGTTCCATTTGCAGTTCTTAGGTGAGGTCAGAAGTACATCGTTTGTAATACGTTTGTCTGCTCAAGATATGGTTCACAAGCTCATTTCATTAATGATATTATTTTATACGTCCTACATTACACTCTCTTAATTTGATCTGCGGTGGGACTTCGAAACATTTTATTTGCTCATATTTGCTGTTAAAAATATCTACTAAATCTTAAGAAATACTATTGGTTTTTAGAGTAACATAACTCTTTTTGTAAATCGTTTGGATAGCGATCAAAGCGTCATTCCATATGAATATCACAGGTAAATCCATTCTTTCACTTTATTTTGTGACTGCTAATACTTCATTTTTAAATTATGCACCATCCATAAAAACTTTCATATTAGCGTTTGGTGTATTTCAGTTTCGATTTCTGTATTGGAAGTGAAAATGAATCGCCAGTAGAAAATCTCGGCCAAGTGTTGTTTGGAGAACGAATTAGACCTAGCCCTTACAAAGTATGAACCTTTTTAAGCACTGCTATAATTCATTATTTTCTAACTTCTTTGAGATGAAGTTGAAGAAATGGAAATGTTTATAGCACTAGTGATTGTTTGAAGTTATGTTCTTATGTCCTTTCCTTATTTGTTTATCCATCTCAAAATACAAAGGTATACATTCATACCTGACGAAATAACGCATAACATCTCTCCGCAATATGCAACTGCATAATAGCAAGAGATATTGCATGTTATCAAAGTTATTCTACAATAATTGAATTTTGTCTCTTTGCAATTTGTAGATAAGCTTCAATAAACAAAAGCAATGTAAATTGTTATGTGAAAAAAAATATGACAATGATCAAGATGCACAGAAAAGAATGTGGTTGCTTCGTAAAGGAATGAAATTAAATTATCAGCATCATTGGTATTTTTTTAAAACTATTTATAGAATTTTTATGAGATTTAATGCTATTTTATTTAACTGTTAGTGAGAACTCATATATAAGTAGCACCATTTGTTAACATTTTAGTAGCATTCAAGACCGGATTTACCAAAATAAGGTTAAATTATTAAGAGCAGTTAGTGGAAATCTTCAGAACAGGTTTATTGTATTTGGGTGATTTATTGTGTATTGTTGGAGAAGAAAAGAAAAGGGTAATTCAGTCATACTCGTGATTATCCACATATATTATAATAATAATAATACGAACCAATTTCAGGGTATATTTTATGATATTTTAGGATATTAGACAATATGCCAGTGACATTCTGCTTCATCAATCAACAAAATCAGAATGTCTGCACAACAGGTTTCCCAATGGGTTGTTACGTAACGAGTGATGGTAAGCCGAAAGATGCGTGTGTTTTAGATTCACGCTACAGACAGCCTGATAGCTACTACATCTTCAATCACGTCGATATTCTCATTGAGTATCGAAACATGAGTCAGGATCCAAATTTCCTGGAAGAACATGTAGGGGGTCGAATTATTCGCATCAAAATACAACCACGGAGCATCAAACATGAAGCAAAAGACAAGCTTGATTGCGGAATTAATGCGCAGCCGTTCCCCATAAAGTCTGATGAAAATCCTAATAATATTATCTACACATATTCTGTCGTATGGCAGGTTTGTTTTTTTAATCATTTTTTCGTGAAAATTAATGTGGAATTCTTTGCACATCAACAAACATCTATTTTTAACGTTTATTAGCTTTATATTTAGCCTAAATTTCTTATATAATTTTGATTTTCACTATTTTATAATTCCATACGATTTTACAATCCGAGTTAGCCTACCAGGATAACTTTTTTGGTATTTGCTTGTGACAAAAAATTGCAGACGACTCAGGTGAAGTGGTCTTCACGATGGGATTATATTCTAGATTCAGTTCCACACTCTAACATTCAGTGGTTCTCGATCCTGAATTCACTTGTTATCGTTTTGTTCCTTTCTGGAATGGTAGTTATTTTCTTTCATTAAGAGATTTTTTTTGATTTTGTCGGCATTAAAAGACATTGTTGACCCATTCTTTTGCCTAGTACAAATTAGAAAACTGTTTATGCTGGAATAATAATGTTAGCATTTTAGGTGGGTATGATACTTCTTCGAACGCTTCATCGCGATATCGTCCGATATAATCAACTTGATAATGAGGTTAATTTTGTTTATTGTAAATATAATTCTGAAGATTTAATCGCTTTTTAATTATATAATCATAATTAACAAACGCTAGGTTTGAAGGATATATCTTAAAAGAAGGTTAGAATGTGCATTCAGAAGCCCAATAAAATTAGCGGCAGCTGATTAAAAATGCACGCTGTCGTCAAAATTTAGACTTTTATATGTCGTTGCATCCTCAAATCACATAACTTGAAAAGAGCAATAAATTATGCAAGGTTCATATTTTCCTCGAAAATTTTTTTAAAAGTTTACATTTTAAAATTAGGAAAATTTGAGGAAGATGCTCAAGAAGAATTTGGTTGGAAATTGGTTCATGGTGATGTTTTCCGTCCACCACGATATGCCATGTTTCTCTCCATATTCGTAGGCAGTGGATGTCAAGTGCTCTTTATGGTTGCCGTCACTCTTGGTATAAGCTTATCAC